GGTTTGAGATTGGGGATGACCAGGATGACATCCCCCGATTGAAGTCAGTTTGGTATAAACACGAAAACCCGTTATTCATCCGTGTCTTACATCTCCATTCTATTATGATAAATACCCTGAACCCATTCTCCACATTTGCTTAATTCCGGAAGTGACGTCACCATCTCAATCTCCACTATCTCTAACTAGCACAAAATTTCTTTCGCTCGTGAGATTTTGATTGGACAGTTGATTTTAGCGTCGTGTCAGTCGAATCGGGCTCAATCATGGCATTAAAAATAACAGAATGGAAATAGTATACTATGAATAATTGAGGATGCGAACTAAGGTGACATTCAAGTACTTATTCTTCCATATAATGTTATGTTTCACAAGATCAGAGATGTTGATCTTTTTGAAGAAAATTTTAGCCTAAAGTTAATGTCTTACTGAGAACATGTCAGCTGAAGACACACACTGCCGTATTTTGTCAGTGAGGTCTGGCTCTAGAGGTGCTCCAATCAGATTGACGCGTGTTATTGTAACTACTCACAGCGTAATTCAAAAGATTTTCTTTACTAAAACTTGAAGTTATTCATCAACAACACCCAATTTTAATTTGGGCATGGTCACCGAGGCAGATCTCTAAAACTGTTAAGAATCAAGAACTTAATTCTACAAGCGGCACACCCCTCACTCTACCAGGCCTATTACATTTAAGATTATTGAACTACGATAAACGCCTTAACGTCATCGTCAAGTTACAATCTTAGCCTTTAAATAAACGCTATTTAAGCTCAATGTATATTTTTCTCATACAATTGATTTCCTGTTGACATTGTAACCAATTCCATTTGAGACGATTTTTCTGGAAAATATTTATATCTAACTGGTAAAAAGTCTTCAGTACCTGGGGTAGTCAAGTTTACATATACACGTTATACCTTTATTGGGAACAACTCAATCTAACATATTTAATAACCTGTCGTTAAGCTATGTTAAAGTACGGTCACTTTATGAATCTAGCAAATGGTCCCACTTGACAAAGCATCTTTGCGCAACGACTATCTTAAGTCAAATTTACAGTATATGACTTACGATCGTCGGAGCGCTATATCTGTTAGTGAAAGTAGACCCATTTATGTATTTGATATCTAATTATCCTTATCAAATGTTGAGTGGTATGTTATTCCGACACATCGGTGATTGTGCAAGGTTTCCATGTCGTGGCCTAACATCTAATATGTGAAGCGGTTGTGTTACTGCGCCGTTAGACTCGCGAGTGACACACGACCAAGGTCACGGAAGGTTATTTATGCAACGAAGAAAACTTAGGGAACCGTCCTGTTCTCAAAATTCAATTCTATCGCAAATTTGTTATAAAATTTTTAAGTTGTAACATTTTTTTCTGTAGTCTGCATAAATCACGGGCTTTCAGTCCGAAGCCTACAGAAACGTTCGGAGCCAATTCAACCACGTGACGTGTGTTGTTTCTTGTTTAACGCCACATTCAGCAATATTCCTTCTACATGACGGCGGTCTGTGAGTAATCGAGTCTGGACCGGACAATCCAGTGGATGATATCATGAGCATCGATCTACGCCACTGGGATGGCATGCATCAACCAAGTCAGTGAACCTGACCACCCGATGCCGTTAGTCGCAGGGCATACTGTGTAATGATAGGGACGACGAATCCATGGACTTCAACTGATTGGTGCTGACAAACCTACACTCGTAATAAGGTCGAATCTTGGATTCGAAGAACCATCAGTCATAAGATTCTGGCATGGCTAAGGGACGCAACTCTGCACAGGTTAAATTGCGGCCCATCAGGCGACGGGACCATCTATGCCCCCGGCCAAAACAGAGGATGGAAAACCTATCACTAGCATAAGATATTATAACGTGGATGGCTACCGTAAATATTTACTGTTCTCCGAATCAATATATACACTGCGAAATATTAATCTGAATCCCCTCACTACATTTCTAGTTGATTCCGCCCTCGGCATCGAGGAGGGGTATATCCGATTAAGCTGCAATATCGACGACCATACGTTCAACAAGACAAAATAATTGCAAAATATTTATCTGATCCCCATACGTTATTCCTGGTTCTACCCTCGGCATTGAGGAACGGCATATCCCATTGAACCTTAATAGTGACGACCATACGTTCAACAAGACGAAATATTTGCCAAATATGTATCTGATACCCATACGTCATTCCTTGTTCTACCCTCGGCATTGGGGAAGGGTAAATCCCATTGAGCCTTGATAGTGACGACCATACGTTCAACAAGACGAAATAGACAGTGTTTACGGCAGTACATCCTGAAGTTAAGGACGCACGTTTAGGAATTGTGTTGATGGCGCAGGGTGTCTTGACATCCGTGTTCTGTTCTTACTGTCGTTGGTCAAGGATTATTTCCGCTGTCCTCTGTGATTCACCACTGTGATCAATTGATGACGCGATGTGAGGAGATTAGATCCTGAACAATATTCGTCTTGGCTTCGTCGAGACGTAACACAGTGTCACCTCGTCTTCAAAACAAGCCGTTAGTTCATCAGCTATTGTCGTCATGTCATAATATGTTACAATCATTCTTTGAGTGCTCGCTGTGCAGAGTTGCGTCCATGGGCACGTCAGAATCCTAAGATTATGGGATTGCGGATTAACAGCGCTTAAATATCATTTGTCATTTGAAGGATGTCAACTCAACGTGGGCGGCAAACAAAACTATCTCCTTGGTATGGTGACCTTCCTTTGGGTGCTGGGGGCACGGAGGGCCCAGTCGTCTAAGGCGCTGCGATTCTTTGTGCAGAGTTGCGTCCCTTGGGCACGCCAGAAACCTAAGATTGTGGGTTCGCCCCGATTATGTTTCTAGGTTTGTCAGCACCATACCCGTGCTCGTGGGTTTCATCGAAGTGGTAAATGTCTGAGACATGCATCACTTCGGGCTTTCCTCCCACATTAGGCTGACACGCCGTGATATAACTGGAATACTGTTAAAAGCGGCGTTAAACCCAACTAACTCCCTCATTGAGTGCTGACAACGTGCCAGTACAGTTAATTTGGGAATTTGGGGTAGAGGGGTAGGGTGGGTCATGTTATCGCTAACGTTAGTTTCAATTGAACATAAAACATATGCTGAAATCAACTGAGAGGTATAGTTTCTTTTGCTGCTCAGTTTATAACGTCACATTAACGCCTTTTGTCTCGGTACATCGAATTCGTATGTTTCACCTGTCGCTACCCAGGGAATGTTGGTTTCAAATATAAATATAAATGTAAAACGTCATCGCCAGATAACAACCAGCCTCGATTATCCACCGAAACAGATTACACTGGGCGTACAAGTCAAAACAGCGGTGAAAATGATATGAATTGATCACTGAAAATCAGTGATGACACCAGGTGTTCGCGAAAGTAAATTATGTATTGTGATCAGACGACAAACGAATGACACCATTTGAATCATAGGATTTCGAAATCTTCAAAATAATTGGGTCGAATACATGACTTTTTCACAACATTGTGCCTAGTCATCCACGTGTTAAATAACACCGTATATGTCGGACGAAAGTAATATTATAAATTAAAAATGTAGTTTAAAACCTTTAACTGCTTTCTGTGTCAGCTTTACTATCATGCATATGCGCGTGTCCATGTATCTATGAGGGTAATGGATTACCCAGGGAGACAGATGACAGTCACACCGAGATCACCTGTGTGCATATCAAAGGGACACGACATTAACATGACAAAATATGTAGTTTTGAATCCATGCATGCCATAAATGAACGTGTTAATTTCATTCTTTGATCTTAAAAAGAATTCGCTGTGCATAAATTATGCACAAGAAAAATGTCATATATGGAGCCCATTTCTCGAATTCCGTTTGACAGAGAAACAAAATTTGTCCTTATATGGAGATAGCCAAGAATAGCGGAAATGTCATAATTAATGCGTTGAAAGTTGTATAGATGTACAAATGTCATTATGTGTAAGGCTTTGAACATATGTTCGGGTATAAGTTATTATGATAACAATATTCATTTAATACTTTTCTATAGTTGTAAACACCTTGATGGTTGTTGTTTAACTGAGCGTTCCTAAATGGGAATGTTTAGGGACAGAGCATTTATGGGTGTGTGGGGGGAGTGGGGTGAGGTGTATGGAGGGAGAGGTTTGGGTTGGGAAAGGGGGCGGGATGTGTGCGTGCGTGCGTGAGCGCGCGCGCGTGTGCGTGTTTAGGCAAACTGTTTCGTTAAGTCAGCGCTTCAACATATACAATTATTGTCTCTGGAAGGAGACTAAGACATGTTTTGAGACCCACAAAAATATTTTTCGGAACTTATACTACGTCCAGTGAACGATGTTTGGGCGTGTTTATATATAATCACAATGTGAGTTTCATCACAAACAGAACTGGGCCATCATCTTCAGTTGAATGACAAACGGATTCAGTAAAATCATGCGGATAGGTTCAAGTAGGAGACATATCACATTTCCCGAGAGTACTAAACACATTTACATAATTATATGCACGTGACCTAAGGTCGAGGATGAGACATGCTCTGAGTGTACCGGAAGTGTGCGACGAGATGTAGACCATGATGACCTATATGAACTGATCTCTGACCTTGTGTTTGTATTGTACCATTCTTGCTGTGGCAGTAGTGAGTGAGTGAGTGGGTGGGTGAGTGAGTGAGTTCCTTGTATCAGTTAAGGGACCTTTCACATATATCATGTTTTGGGGTTAAAACACGACCGACCTCCCGAATAAAAAAAATGGATGGTCCCTCACGAGGGTTGATCATTAACTGCTGGAGTTACGGAACAAAAAAGCGGGTTTTAAATTACGTAATTCAAACTCAAGTAAGAGTGATAAATTTGATGTAGGTCCAACAACAATTTTGCAACTGTTGACGGTGGAACATTGTCACGATTGCCAACTGGGCTAACCTAGTCTCCGTTTAATCACAAAGAATCATAAAGTAACCTTTTTGTTTCAGTGTGCGTCCCCGTGTTGGTATACTTCATTTGGGGGACACCCTACACCCAGGGCTTCTATTGTGACGACGTCTCCATCAGACTCCCTTACAAGAGCAACACCATCTCCACGCCGGCGCTGCTCACTGCCGGACTCGCCCTGCCTCTCCTGACGGTATGTACTAGTATTTAACAAGGCATCACCTTTGAAGCAGGGTGCTCGAGGACTAAGCACTTATTCCAGTGGACCTTTCCGTCGTTTCTAAAACTCCAGTTCTCTTACCGCCCATGAGCGACAGAATATGTTTTAGCAAAGATAATTTAGTTCTGAAAAAAGTTACGGACCACCCGATTCTTTCATATTTCAACAGTTAATCTGTCATGCCATGAAAATATTTAAAATATCGGGTGGTCTTTAACTTGTTTTTGTAGTATTCATTATGAATCCCGACTCACAAAATTTAACCGCCTTTTTCTTAAATGGCCTTCCATAAACCTGTGGTGCCATCATTGCTTCTGTATTGTGCTTGAGGAAAGACGGCCTCAAATATCTTTTTCATCTTATTGATATTCCTCTTTCGAAAGCGTCTTCGTGGAGGCCTGAATGAAATCCACATCACGGATATGTTATATAATGATACATTATGGATCATAATTAGCTGAATATGGAATTCGAACCGACGATCAGCCAGGTTAAGAGACGCATCTCTGCCTAGCCAATAGTGGTGCCTTAACCGATGAGCCTACTATGCCAACAGTGTAAGCGAGAAACTGCTTGACGCCAGGCCCGAACAAACATCATGATTGTTATCGTATTTGTTTCCACTCAATGCAGTTGCTTCCAAATATATACTTTGCTTCATGCTTACACTTCATCATAACGATAAACATCTTCCCGAGGCAAGGGAGTTTACTGACTGTAAAAGTCAAGTTTCCATCCTTGCCAAACAAGGCTGGAATTGCTGGGCTCGATCGTCGTGCCACCAGTGTTTATTACGAGTTATGTCCCTTCTATGTCCTTCCTATTGACCAATCAGATTTCTCCTCTGCTATCACTTGCAATTGCTTCAAACAAAATGGTGGCGCTCAGTCAAGACCATCTGATCGATAAGCAAGATCTGTATTGTTATAAAACGGGCCTTACCTCGTGAAGTGCATCAACTGACGTGAACACCTTGTTTAAAAACATGAAAAGATTTGGAAGATCTGTCAACGCCCAGTTTGCGGTACTTATGCTTTGCAAATCCTTTAGGCGATCGAAATCTGCACGTTGAAATCCACGTTGTTTTCATTGCGCGATTTTGATTGGACTATGCATTAACTCCGGAATTCCAGCCTAGTTAGGCAAGGGTGGAAACTGGACTTTTACAGTCAGTTAACTCCCTTGCCTCGGGATGATGAACGATAAAGAAATCCTATCATACCTTTTTCATCATCTTCAGCTGTTTCTGACGGAGATACTGCGGGTCACTTTGGGCAGGGACGACACCTTCAAGACTCAGAACATCGACTTGATGATGGCGGTCAAGGGGTTCGGGATCTTCTTGTTCGGGACCATGGTCAACAAGGTGTTTACTGAGATCACTAAGTACTCCGTCGGCAGACTCAGACCCAACTTCATCGACGTGTGCAGGCCAGACTTCACCAGCATCAACTGTAGTCAAGGGTGAGTGGGTCATGTTTTGTGTGTTGTTTAACACTGCTCTAAGCAATGTTGCAGCTATATGGCGGTGGATATAAATAATAGTCTGGACCAGACGAACCAGTGATGGGTATCAGGAGCATTGACCTATAATTTATCCCCATGGATTGTAGGAGAATGAGAGATTACTGAGTGAAATAGTGAGTTGGATTTGAATCCTCTTGAACATTATTTATGTTACGGTGTGACTATGGATATTGTTATATTTATAGATTTTGGAAAGCCCAAAATGGCGTTTCGTCGTTTCGATCTTTGGTGAACAAAATATCACTGCCAATTATTAGCATTTTAAGGGGCGGTCGGGTAGCCTAGTGGTTAAAGCGTTCGCTCGTCACGCCGAAGACCCAGGTTCGATTCCCGACATGGGTACAATGTACCCAACTCACTCACTCACCTCTCGTGAAGTCTCTTTAACTCACACCTTAACTTACAGCTATATCACGGACTACACGTGCACGACAACGGAACACGGCGCACGTGAAATCCGAGACAGCAGGCTGTCATTTCCTTCCGGACATGCGTCGTTTGGTGTCTTCTGCTCGGTTTATGCAGTTGTAAGTACATAACTAATGGTTATCATCAGCATGACTGACACTTATTGTTTGTTTGGTATACCCAGACACTGACATGGCGAGGAAAATATACCATATTATTCAAGGAAACGTGATTGCATGCACGATTGGGGAAGAATTGCTTTATGCCAATACCAGCATGGTTTCAGATATACAGCCTGGTCTTCCGGTATTCGCCGGTGCGCGTTTGGAACAGGCAAACTAGTGCAGTTAGGCCATAATAAAGTACTTATTATATTCCCATCCCCGCCCGCCTCGCTACCAAACACCTACCTCACATAGCTGTACCATATCTACAGATGAGCCCCGATAAGATCTGGTTAGAATTAGTCTTCAGAAACCCATGGTTATCCTTCGTCCCGAGGCAAGAGAGTTAACTTACTTTTAAAGTCCAGTTTCCAACTTTGCCGAACTAGCCTGGAATTTTTGGGTTCGGTCTTAGCGCCGTTAGTGGCTATTACGAGTGATGTTCCTTCTATGTCCCTCCTACTAGCTAATCAGATCCCACATCTCATGTCACTTGCATTTGCTTCAAACAAAATGGCGGCACCCTGTCAAGACGTTCTGATCAAGTTAATTCCCTGTCTCAGACACACAGTGATTGTGGAGTGTAGCCCAACACTAGAGCGCGTTGATTAAATACATGAAAAGATTTGGAAAATAACTGTCGACGCCCAGTTGAGGAAATGTAAAAAATCGATAGGGGTATGATGCTAAAACAGTACAGCCAGGCAATGGTTTAGCAGTGTTGATGCATGGATTCACTGTACAATGGCATCTCACCATAGTCGCAACGCTGAAATGACTGTGGAACGGGGGATAATTCTGTGAGTCGAGTTATCATACTAAACCCAAAAGATTTATAAAATATGATACCAGCTGGGGGTCGGGGTGGGGTGTAGAATAAATTTCACAAACATGTTTCTGTCCTTTGAAATCATTCGACAATGTTCATTCGGCGTAAGTAATTAAACATTCAAGAAATCGCCTTGCAACATAAGGGCTATTTCAGGATGTTGCATATGAAGAGGGAAACCCGTTTTGAAATATCTAAATTAACATTTTATAATAATATGTACACCCTAATCATGTTGAAGGTTCAATGGGTCAAACAAATATGGGGAAGCAAAAAAAAACGGCTGTAAAAAAGTAACGCAAGCATGTTGAGAGCCTCTCACAAGACTTGTCATGTTTCCTTAATGGCGGCCGTTTCCTCAAACCCACCTGTTCTGGTAACCACAACCCCGAAAAAGGAAGGACAGGGTCCTTGTTACACAATTAGTTCTATACTTCCGTTTCCGGTTCAACAAATGACTCGTGACGTAACGTATTCTGTCATCTGGGCGCAATGAGCCAAACTTACAATAAGTTTAACTGGGCGGTGTTATGGGTCAGAATACACTGCCAAACAAAGAACAATCGACCTATTTGAAAGGCATCACTTGTTGACGGATGACAAAGTAGACACAATTTATGGATTGGAATTATGTCTATTTTGCATTCGAACGCATGGTTTCAGGCTCTTGTCCAATGAGAGATCGGCATTCAATCATGTGCATTACAAACCTGATTGTTGTTCTGCGGACATGTGAGTTACAGTGTTGCACGTGCATTCCGTGCACAATGTAATACATGACTGTTGTAAGTTTTCCTCGCAACAACTTTCCCTTCGTCAACAGCACCCAAAAGTGCGCTAATTTAGTATCACGACTTTTCTATCAAATAGAGTGAATGAGTATTTTTTTACCCCGCTTTTAGCAATATTCCAGCAATATCACGGCAGGGGGACACCAAAAACTGGCTTCACACATTGTACCCATGTCGGGAATCGAACCCGGGTATTCGGCGTGACGAGCGAACGCTTTAACCACGAGGCTACCGACCGCCCCTTAATCAGGTCCACAGTACCTTACAGGTGTGGGGAGAGCCGACTTAACTTGGGATCGGGTGGTCAGGCTCTGTGACTTGGCTGACTGAGTGTCATCCTGTCCCGATGGCGTGGATCGCTTCTCGTGTTTCCACACACTGTTTGCGCTAGCCCGTAGGTAGAATCGTGACCTGACGTGAAGACATGCAAGGGACCCCGCCTTACTCGGACTCCATGAATTCGATATGGGACCTCCGTGCAATCACCTTACTCGTAATTCGTAAATTGGAAATGTGACTTATTGCAGTGAAACCGCCTTATTCAAACTCAGTGAATTCGATTTGTTACTGTTTGCTGCGAAATCCACTTACTCGAACTCCGCGAATTATATATGGGACTTCATTAAACTTATCGACGCTACATGGTGATAGGTCCAGAAGACTTCGATTTAATGAGGTTTCCCTGTATGTATTTGTTTAATGCGTTGAGCCAAGTAATACTATCAACAGCGTACACCGTCAACAATCTCGCCATAAGAAAGTTTGTTTCTGCAGGGATTCCGTAGTCAGGTCGGGAGTCTTGGCGTTAAAAGTTATCTCCCTTTGACGAAAACAAAACCGCGTTCAATCGGCTGTTGAGGGATTATTCAGAAGTGTTTCACACCACATAGAAAAGAACAACCAAGGCCGTGCAAAACTGACAAAATATTTTGAAAAAGTTGATACATTTCAAGATAAAAGCAGGAATACTTAAAGTGCCATGGATGCCAAACATTTGTTAAATATATTTCGCGTAAAGGCTTTGAAATCCATTTAGAAGTGATACACATAAGAAAGAACATATATGGATGCCAACTTCTTAATTTTGAGGAACACAACGTTTCGGGGTATGTGCTTACTCCTTCATTTGTCGAATCGCCTGATGAAGGAGTAAACACGAACTCAGAAACATTGTTCCTCATTACAAAGATGTCTCTCTTACATTTCACATGTTAAAAATAATTTAATAAAACAATTAAACAAAAGGAATTGTTTCCAAGAATATCGCAATTAGATGCCTTTGTTTTTTGTTGCGATATTCACAATTTTGATCGTTTGCCAGAGCATTGTATGGCCGTTCCATGGGTCATAGATACTTACTAAAATGCTGTTCCTTTTTTGGGTGATTACAAAAAATGTCTTAATTGATTGAAGTTTAATTGTATGTCTTTTTTTCAGCTTTATATGCAAGCACGATTAAAAGTGACGTCATCCTACCTCCTGAAGCCAACCCTCCAATCAGCCCTGCTGTTGCTCTCAGCTTGGTGCTGTCTCACCAGAGTAACAGATAACAGACATTTTCCCTCTGACGTCATCGCAGGATGCGTGTTGGGCATCGTGACAGCGTGGCTCACGGTGAGTTGTAGAGGGGTTCTCAGCTTGGGGTCGGGGGCAGCAACTGCGGAGAAGTCGGCGGCGACGTGGCGACGCTGTAGAAAACCGCCAACGTGACGAAAAGTTAAAAAGTGACATCAGTGTTGCCGATACGTCTGTGCAGGCCATCGCTCACTTTCTAACAGTGAATGAGTGAGTGAGTGAGTGACATGGGTTTTACGTCGCTTTGTATTTATTAACACCACAGGCAATTGAATTTGAGTTTGAGTTAGTGAGTAAATAGCGTTTTACGCCAGAGTGTGTCCAGGACTTACGGGATTGCGGGTTTGTCCTTGTTTACAGACCGCCGTCATAAGTGGAATGTTGCTGAGGACGACGTTAAACAAAAAAAACAAAAAAACTTGAGAGTAAACAGGTAGTCCAAGGCTCGGCAATACGCTTTAAAGAATTTCGTCCCAAAGTCGTTCCAGGATCCGCTAATCGATTATGTTCCTTGGTTTGCAATCACCAGTATTGTGGTGGTAGGTTTCACGAAAATGGTAAACGTCTTAGACCTCCAGTACTCCGAGTTCCCTTATCAAGCAGCCTTACCCTGGTGTTTCTGGTATACTGTTCAACATGTTCAATGCGTTTAAACCCAACTCACTCACTCACTCACTCACTGGTAGACTGTTCAAAGCGTTAAACCCAACCCAACTCACTCACTCGGTTTCGATTTCCCAAATGGCCACTACGTGTGAAGACCTTTCTGGGTGTTCCCCGGATGTGGAACTGCTGGAATAATGCCAAAAGTGGCGTATTCCCATACTCACCCACTCGTTCATATTGTTAAGTAGTTTCGTACGCGACTCCTGTCAGGAAAATAGCGTACTTGGTGGTCAGGTTCACCAAGGTCAGCGACGAAGTCCGAGTGACCGCTGTGGTCGCTGCAGGAAACTGCTGTATCAAGTGAGCCAACGCCATAAACACAGTGAGAACATTGTGTAGGTGGTGACAACGATGCAGGTGACGACGTCGTGTTGCTGCCGATAGGTTCACTGACTTCGTGGAGTACGCTGTCGGGAGTCGTGAGCGGCATAGCTGTGAACGTGGTGACTGTCACAGTGATGTCAGGAGTAGTCAGTTGTTGACCTATTCTTCATGTCCCGGAATGACACGAGTTGATCACGAATGTCGTTGACCACACACGCTGGGTTGTGGGCTCAACAAGATGGTGGGCGGTAGCAGTGGGACTTCGCGGGTGGTTTAGGCGGTGCAACAAACCTGTTTTGGGACGGTTTTATGCAGCAGAAGCTTAATGTAGTAACGTTTCTTTGTTAGTTTTTACAATTCTTTGCAATTAATAAATTATTATTTACCATTCCTTTAGCATCAAGGAGGTACTGTTGATCTCGACCAGGAATTGAACTCGCATTGCTAACCAACACCCTATCCACTGAACTACCTTGATTTATACAGTCCATTAATTTATTTCTATATAATCAAGAGGGCACGTGTGGCTCAGTCGTCTGTGATGCCGCAATGTGCAGAGTTGCGTCCCTTGGGCACCCTAGAATCTATGATCATAGGTTCGAATCCCGGTTCGCCCAGATAATGTGTCTAGGTTTGTCTCGTGGGTTTCATCAAAGTGGTACGCCTGAGACCTGTATTACTTCGGACTTTCTGACTGTGAGCTGTGTGAGGCGTTATACCCAACTCACTCACGACATAGTCACCCTTGAGTTGGAACAGATCCCCATTAACACGTATATGCGTTTCGTAAGAGCTGGTGGATCGTTGGGTAACTTCACTGATTATGGATAGTTGCGTTAGCTTTCAGTCACTGATTTGCCAGGTCCAGATTCGTAAATTTACAGACCATCGTGATATTGATATGATGTTGCTTTCTGTGGCGTTAGACAACATTCACTTCTCTGTGGTCTTAAAGGCAAGATATCAACTATACTGGAAACCGTCCCTGTCTCCCAAATAAATTAATGAAATAATTTAATACATAAAAAAATGTATACTCTATTTGTCTTCACGGGTGTGTCCCGAATGCTAAATAAGACCTTAAGATCACATGGAGATAACGGGTATTACTTTCGTCTTTCTAAGTACACTTTGTAATTTAACAGTAGTTTGGTGCACAACATGGGACACGCACAACTGACACAATTATGAACCGCCCTTTGTGTCAGCACCTGCAGGGAAACTCAATAAAACTGACAGGTGCGCGCTGCACGAGAAAACCGTGCAGGTTGTGATGTCATGTGGCGCGCTCAGTGTCGCGATGCACTGCCACAGCAGAGTTTAATTCCGTAAAAAGTCATTCACTTGCAACACCGATCTAAACCGCAGTAAAAAATTAAATGCTGTATTTTAAACTTTAATTAATGTCAGGGTTGCATGTGACGTGCACAAGATTACATAGGCCAATAATTAAAAAAAACAAGTTTAGTGGTCAAACATTTACTTATAATGTGATCATTTTTTTTTAACACGAAACTCAACCTTTTCTTAATTTAATGAACGCATTTGTGTTCTTCAACTGAGTAGAAAATTAACAATCAAAATATATTCTATTTTATCAAAATATGTATCCCGCCAGGTCAGTTGTAGTTCAAACCCCTATTATCAAGACGTTAAATGGCATCAAACATCGATCTTGGCTTCCTTGTGCTCACAGATATAAGATTAATAACAGATTTAGATTTGCGGGGGGTGCCGCTTTGAACAGTATCTCAGTTATATCACGGCGAGTGAGCTTGATGTAGGGGGAAAACTCGAAGTGATACAGGTCTTAGACAGTTACAACTTTGATGAATTGAATCCCAGGATTACGTGTATGGTGCTGACAAATCAGTTATCATAATCCTAGCCAAACTGGGATTCGAACCTAGGATCTAAGATGGTGGCGCATAAAGGAGACAGCGAAATTGCGGCGGGTTCACCCAAGCCTCCGACTAAATGTAAATGTTGCTCAGATCCGCAGGCATAAAAAAGATAGCTTTTACACGGGGGTAAATCTGTGAAGTCATATGGTCCATGCATATCACGATAATTATTTAGGTTAGGGCTGTAAATCAACCAAGAACGTCTACTTGTCCGAAAAGTGATAACATATAGCAGTATCTCCCCCCCCCCCAAAAAAAAAAAAAAATAGTTAAAAAAATGAAATTGTAACAGCCCTAGGATACCTTTAACATTAACAAGACTTGCCCGGGCTGACGGCTTAGTGCTAATTTCCACCCTCATTATTATTAATTTTCAGTCATCAATAAATGTATATGCTCGAGTTACTTTTATGTTTGTGAGTATAATTTTGTAATAACGTGACACCGTTTATTCGGAACCCTAAATAAATTGTTACAGCTTCTAAAATATACGTTCCCCAAAGCTCTATATATAAGTGTTTACAAAAACTAAATCCCTTAATTGTTTCTCTGCAGTTTGTAGATTACCGGGGCTTACAGCGAAGGGCACCTCCCGTGAACTCGGCGTTATATTCAGTAGGGCCCTGCTATACTGACCACATTAAAGAGATTCGGTAGCATTGTGGGCATACCTTGCCTTGAAACATACATATGTTGTCTCTCAAGACAAGGTTAATATGGGACCCTTATCCAGAGAATAATCCTCGAAATGCCCTAGCTTATCCTACACTATTAAATACTTACATGATACTCTTATAGATGATCGGATGATCTGGGATTGTTGGGAATATCAGTTACGCGAAACGGGCTAACGGACGCTCTTTGTATATTTGGGTGGGACTGAGGCACTTACAATTTGTTTAAAAGACCAGATGAATTCAAATATTCCATTCCAGGGAAATAATTTGTAAGCCATGAATTATATAGTTGTATTTTCTGTAAAATGTTTGTGATACGTTAAAATTATTAGTATATACTTAAACAAGAGAGAGAGAGAGAGTATGCGCTCACTCGCACCGGCCTCTTGGTCCGTATGAATCCTTGTCCACAGCTATACCAGATTAGCCCCGAGTGTTGGTGCCTTGGTCTGACACTGCCATCCCAGTACTCATAGAATTCACCAATGTGGTTCCTCATTAAACCAACGTCTTGATAAAACTTGAAAAAATGTTCAATTCTTCCTGATAAACCCCCACCCACTATACGTATATGATGCAGCACTCTATATGCCTCGGGCAGTGGGATAGTCGAGTAGGCGGTGTATTCGGTTCTCACACGATAATGTCGGGTTCTATTCCCAATTTGTGGAAATGATCAAGTGAGTAAGTGTGTTTTCAATTCCGCGAGTCGTTTTTTTTTCTTCTTGTCGCCTTCATTTGGACCAGTTTTGATTATCGGATATTGGAGATCTTGGAGCTACTTCCGATCCTTTGTTTATCCCAAACTCCATCCCATCCCACCATTTACCCTTACAGCTTCAAACATAGTTTAAATATTATATGAATAGAAGCATTTTCGTTCTCTCTAAAAATGACCATTTCCCTCTATTATGTTGACACCGTGGTCCATGTTGCAGTTCTACAAGGTGGCGTTGGATGTGCTGCAGACAACGCAGAGAGGGGAGGTGGAGAGAGCGTACTCTGTCAACTCGGAAACCGAGCCAGCCACCCCTGCTCCCTTACTGAGGAACTCCAAAGACCACTCCTGCACCGTCTACCTGAACAACCCTCTCCACGAGAAAGACAGAACTGTTAGTTAGAAGCAAACCCCAGGCAGCAGCAAGATCATACTCAGGAGACCTCTCAAACAAAGTTTTAGCCTGATGCACCTTGACTTGCATCTTTTGCTCCGTGGCTTACATAGGTATAAGATGTACGTAAATAAACTACTCGAAAAGAAGTTAAGGACCAACCTTTTCTTTCATATTACTATCGTTAATCTGTCATGGCATCGGAATCGGGTGTTCCTTAACTTCTATTGAGTAGTATATCAGACCAACTGACTCATGCATACTTCAGTGTAGATATATTTACAACGGTATATCTGCTCTTTTGGATTGCTGAAACATTCTTAGGTATTGTCTAGAGTTACCTCCCTTGTCTCCCAGGATCCGCTGTTCCTGGGTTCGTATCTCAGATTTCCCAAGATTTTTAATGTTGGTTCGTAAGACTTTCTTTCCAAACTTAGCGTACACGACCTGATATAATTAACTTTGGGCTTTCCGTCGTTTGAAATACTAAAATACTGACTTTCTCAAACAAAACTGCATTCGAACTCATTTATCTGAAAGCTTAAAGAAGAGTAATGAAAGAGAAAACCGTAGATTGGGTACGGGTTAAGATGGTGCTGCCTGATCTCGGGATGACTGTACGAATTTTGATTAAATCTTGGCAAGGACAGCGAATGTCCTTCTATGTGTAAGGTGATGCCAAAGATTGTATTTATCTACTTTGTTAACACCACTGTGTGCATATTTCCATCACACTAATCCTAATCTGGAATAGGCAGCATTTTGTATCCATGGTAACGTCAGAATCTGTTTCTTTAAGAACTATTTATTATGATGCTTAGAATAGGGCTTCATGTACAGTGGGTAGTATACTGTTTCCAGTGTTTGCAAATATTAATGTAAATACGACAGCTGCACGCCCCCCGCTTGTTGTCTACAGTATGGTATATCTATGATTCATATCAGGGCCAATGAGCAAGACATGGGTTAAAGGAAGCGTATACATAATGCGATACCACGTGACCAAATGTTTCCCGGCTTTGGTCCAAGACTTCACATGTAGTGTGACAATGTGTATGTTTTGTATCTGTTTAGTTTCAAATAATCAAATTTAGGTACTAATTTGGGAGTTGTGTGCTCTAACAATAGACCAGCAGTTGTATAGAAGCGCTGACAATAGACCAGCAGTTGTATAGAAGCGCTGACAATAGACCAGCAGTTGTATAGAAGCGCTGACAATAGACCAGCAGATGTATAGAAGCGCTGACAATAGACCGGCAGATGTATAGAAGCGCTGACAATAGACCAGCAGTTGTATAGAAGTTGTATAGATTGGAAACTGTTTAGCTCTGACAATAGGTCGGAAGCTGTCCAGCAGCTCTGACAATCGATCGGAAGCTGTCCAGCAGCTCTGACACTAGCTCGGAAACTGTTCAGCAGCTCTGACAATCGATCGGAAGCTGTCCAGCAGCTCTGACAATCGATCGGAAACTGTTCAGCAGCTCTGACACTAGCTCGGAAACTGTTCAGCAGCTCTGACAATAAGTCGGAAACTGTTCAGCAGCTCTGACAATAGCTCGGAAACTGTTCAGCAGCTCTGACAATCGATCGGAAACTGTTCAGCAGCTCTGACACTAGCTCGGAAACTGTTCAGCAGCTCTGACAATAAGTCGGAAACTGTTCAGCAGCTCTGACAATCGATCGGAAGCTGTCCAGCAGCTCTGACAATCGATCGGAAACTGTTCAGCAGCTCTGGCAATAGGTCGGAAACTGTTCAGCAGCTCTGACAATCGATCGGAAACTGTTCAGCAGCTCTGACACTAGCTCGGAAACTGTTCGGCAGCTCTGACAATAAGTCGGAAACTGTTCAGCAGCTCTGACAATCGATCGGAAGCTGTCCAGCAGCTCTGACAATCGATCGGAAACTGTTCAGCAGCACCGACAATCGATCGGAAACTGTTCAGCAGCTCTGGCAATAGGTCGGAAACTGTTCAGCAGCACCGACAATCGATCGGAAACTGTTCAGCAGCTCAGGCAATAGGTCGGAAACTGTTCAGCAGCACCGACAATCGACCAGTAGCTGTAACTCTTACAACATAACAGAAGCTACATGTATATGTGCTTTGCCAATAAATCACACAAACGACCCGGGAAGCACATGTCAAACTTGTGATGATTTAGACATTAAATCATTAATGTGTATGCTCCATCGCCGATAATCCCTGTCATTATAGCTCCATTAAATATCGTGATATTATAATGGATTATATTGTATTCTTGGGGGACTGGGATTTTTGTTACAGACATTTTCGGTCTGCTTCAAAACATATCTTTTTCTCTGAAAGGAGACAAATTATTTACAATACATTTTCCCAGACCACTTAGCATGTACAGCGAACAGGTCTTTTTTTATTTAGAGAAAACCCTGAGGCAAAATTATGTTTTTTCTAGAACAAATAATTTTGGGGGAAAATAATCCCGGAGCCTCCTCAGATTATGAAGTGATCGGCCAGTAATTAGAATGGAGATATAATTCACAAGATAATCGAGGACGGGTACAGCCAACATGTATTTCTCTCATGTGATCACCACAGTGAACGTCATTGTTAAATTTAGTATTATTTGCAGTGTACTGTGCATATCACCAGCTGTTTATGCATTTGTGGCATATATTATTTTATTTGTAAACTGGGTTTTTTTAACAGTGAAACATATTTTTGTAAAATTGTTGTTTCAGTGCCTCTGCTCGGTATGTAGATATGACAGTATGTACAGGATGTAATAAAAACTTAAACCAACAACGGGCATTGTGTAATGTTTCGCCATTCATTAATTGATGATGAGGTGAGGTGAATTTGGGTTTAACCTCATAGCGATGTGCATGTACGCACGTGTCTGAGAGATACAGATCTGTCTAAACTAAACACGCCCTGATATAACTCGAATCTGGAACAGACAACCCAGTTATTAACACCATAAGCATCGATCCACGCAACTGGGATACGAGGACATGCATCAACCAAGTCAGCGAGTCTGACCATCCGATCCCGTTAGTCGCCTCTTACGACAAGCTTAGTCGCCCTTTACGGCAAGCATGGGTAGCTGAAGACCTGTTCTACCCCGGAGCTTCATGGGTGGTCTCTGTGTATGAGGTAACAGAAGGGTTTTAGGATGCTTTTAGAAATATTCTAGCCATTGTTCGCTGGAGGGTACAAAGAAACGTGTTCCCAGGGACACGAGCGTCAACTAGCCTGTATCAAGGCCCAGTTTCAACTCTTTCAAGCCTACTTCTCTGTGCTTTAATATTAGAGGACTATCGCACATATCGATAGTCCAATCAGAGTACATTTTACAAAATCAACAACCGGGTTCCGAAAACGTCGTCGCGGCGCTGAAACTCTTCCAAAAGAAGACAGCTATTTTCGAAGTCGTTCATTGTTTTCAGTTCTGCACTTTTATATACCGTATTTCCTCTATTAGACGCCGCGCCTCTAATAGAAGCCGGGTCAATTGTTCAGTGCCAAAAATAGATATCAATTGATACGGATATCTACGAGCACAAAATATTTCCATTTCGTGACGATTCGGGACATTCGTGGTCATAGTGAAATGGGGGGTATTAATAGAAGCCGGGCCTCTAATTGACGCCGGGTCAAAGGCTTGTCCGAAATAAATGGAAGCTCGGGCGTCTAATAGAGCAAATACGGTATGTCAGTGTAAATTTCAGTGACGGAGATACTTGATACTCTGTCGTCTGTATTTTTAAGAGGCATAATATTCCTGTCACTTAATCAAGACATACAATTGTTTTCTCAGAGAGGAAAACATGTTTTTGCAAGTCAGTATGTAAAACGTCAGTGCCAAATAACGAGTCTCGACTATCCCACGAAACAGATTCTGTTGGGTGTTAAAGGCAAAATAGAGGTGAACATTATATGAACTGATTTCTGAAAGTTAGTTATGACACCGGGTGTTCGCGAAAAGGGTAAGTATGTGCTGCCCTACCTGTAAAAAGCGAACCTTTTTAATGCTAGACCGGGGCACGGGTGGCCCAGTCTAAGGCGCCGCTATTCGCTGTGCAGAGTTGCGTCCCTTGGGCACGCCAGTACCTATGATTGAGGGTTCGCCCCGATTATGTTTCTAGGTTGTCAACACCATACCGTGCTCGTGGGTTTCACCGAAGTGGTAAACGTCTGAGACCTGAATCACTTCGGGCTTTCCTCCCACAGAAAGCTGACACACCGCGATATAACTGGAATAATGTTAAAAGCGGCGTTAAACCCAACTCACTCACTCACTAAAGCTTGACCATTATTCCAATTCAGCATTTCCTGGAGCAAATACATTATTTGTTCAGATATTGCTCAAAAGGTGTTCAAAAAAGAAAAATGTTTTTTTTATACCGATTGGAACCACTCTCTGTTCACTGCGCCTGAGTTCGAATTGGAACCTCCGATTCCAAAATTAACTGGGCTCCTGTCTACCTTCACGAGCTTGCGTCCAGTACCAAAAGTGGAACCAGTTCAAACCCAAAACAGGTACTTAATTAAAGGGGCACTGATCTAAAGCAATTCCCCGGGACTGGTTGTTGCCTTTGTTATTGTTTTTCCCCCGTGAGCACCCGGATGATATAGCAGAAACCTAGACTAGTTCGCGACCTGTGCTGCGCAATTCGTAAGCACATTTGTCACTTTTATTGGTAGTATAAGGGCGTATGGTCACATCTATCAACAAAATGAAATACAGTTTTGGAAATAATAAGGAAATGTAGGTATCTTTGTGGGTAGCATCGGTAATGGTGACGAACTTTTGATAAGTCACTTGCTTGGTAACTGTGCGATTTTCGTTTACACTATTTTGACTTGCAGCACAAAGTAAATATTTCTCCTGAGCATTGCTTATTTTATCGTGTTTATATTTTTTACAGTCAAAATGTGCCAAATTTTCACTTAGGAAATTTATTAAACGCCTGAATAGTCAGTTATTTTACAAATTGACTGAAAAATATGTCCATCTGTATTATTATGATAACGAATTCCAAAATTTTTATGTTTAATATCATCACCAAGAGACTGAAAATGTTACGATGAAAAGTACATTTCTATATTGTTTGGCTTCTAATCCTACATAATAATCTATTGTGATGTTTATAGGCCCTTTTGATCGTCTTAATCAGTTTTAGTCAATCTGTTAAAGAAATGGACAGATTTTTCAGTCAAAATGACTGAAATATTTACACATTTTATAAATTGCCTGAGAGAATTACATTTTACAAATTAACTGTCATATATACACGCATAAAAAGGAAAAGACTTGTGAAAACAACGTCTATCGCGCATTGAAGAATTTCCCAACCAAGACGTAGAGGAACAGGAATGAATCTGTCCAATGCTACAGCAAATGAAGGAAAACAAAATGCAAATATCATAATTACAACCTACCAAATTAATGTGTATAATTTTAGGCAGCTTCCTTGTTCGAGGAATGTATCCGTGAATATCCACACAAAGGAACAATATCCCACACGTCTGCAGCTGTACAAAGAAACTTATTCGATGTCGAGTGTCTCTGTAGCAATCAAATATTTTAAAATATATATATTATTTCGGGATATTATAACCCGTGTTCGTCGGTCCTACTATTTAACGTCCGGGGGCGTCCGGAAACGTCCGGGAGGTTTCATCAGACGTCCGGGAGTTTAAAAATACAGTGCAGTCAAGAAAACATGTCTTTCTCAGTTTGGTAAGATCGTGAGAATATAAACTGGCGTACGTGTTTGCCATGTGCTGCGGCCAGAAAATGGAAGTACAAGTAACCGGAAGTTTCTGGCCGCTGCAGAAAATTTAATGTTAAAAAATTTCGAACGGCTCTTTCACGTTTTAGATGTTCTTCTCACGACCTTTTAATAGAAACAGGGCGCTATGCAAACATTCCTCGTGAAGAAAGAATCTGTAATCTATGTAGTTTAAACTCAGTAGAAGATGAATTTCATTTTTTACTTGTATGTCCAGTGTATTTACACCTTAGAGAAAAATACCTGCAAGCTTATTATTACAGGTTCCCTAATATTATTAAATTTGTTACACTGCTGTCAAACACAAAAAGAAGTATCCATGTACATATATTATGCCTCTTTATACCGACAGAACCTTATGAAAGAATAATCTTAGCTGCTTGGTATTAGGAAACTATTGTGTATATACATTAAGTACACTTTTATAGATATTTGCCATTTGAATAAACTACAAACAAAAGAGTTAGAAATGGTATTAAACTATTAGGCTATCATATGATATTGTGGGACGTGATATTACAATTGGTTTAGTATAGTTATATGTATATGAAATGATATGATGTGACATGACATGATGTGATATGATATGATAAGTGTTGTGGTGTGATATGATACATGAGGGGATATGATGCAATATGTTCTGTGTATTATAGAAATTGGGTAAATACTGTGTTTTAGTTTACATATTATATGGCTTGCGGTCTTCCAGTGTTGAATAAATATTGATTGATTGATATGATATAAATTGGCATGGAATGACATGGCATTATATGGTATGATATGATAAGATATGATGGGACAAGCTATGAAATTGCTAATGTGTTGTATGATATGACATGTTGAAATGTGATAAAATATAGGTGTGATATATGGTACGATGGTATGTATGGTATGTTATGATATGATAATGGTATATGAAATAATACTATATAGTATGATCTTATAATAATGATACAATATGATATGATGTTATAGAATATGTTGTATGATATAACAAGTTGTGATATGGTAAAATAGAAATTATGAAATTACAGGGTATGGTATTGTACCGTATGTGTGAAATTATGTGACTGTGTTGAGATGCGATGTGGAATGACGTGAGGTGATTTGGTGAGATATGTACATAAATTGTATAAAATTGTATATTCTTCAAATTGTACTATAGGCCTGTGGCCTCTTCAGTACGTGAAATAAAGATTGAGTACCGGACGTTTTACACTCAGTGAACCATCTGGGGCCACGCATGAACTTTTGAAAACGTCTGTGTTTCAGTATTAGTTATGGAATAGTGTACAGAATATGACACTATGAAAGAACACTATTTTTGTTCCATAAGCAAATTTACATTGTATCCTTCAAAGCCTACGTTACGAATACCTCGTCAGTTCGAATAAAATAAAATCGTATTTGCTTCGCAGATTCACCATTTAAAAAGAATAGGGGTGTATGTAATTTTTTTCCAGCTATATGTTATTTTGTATAATTAATACAAGATCACAATTATATAGAATACACTTTATTAATTAGTATCATTCTCCCGGGCGCTCCTGGCATTGCCCGGACGCTCCCGGACGTTTCCGGACGCCCCTGGGCGTTATTTAGCAGGGCCGGTGTTCGTTTCTCAACTGATCACTTAGATTGTTTCAGCTGTTTCCCATAGGTGTCAAGTCTCAAAGGTCGGCGGAGAAAGCCCACGTGACAACTATTTTCATAACGTCCTCGGTTCCAAAAAAAATCCATTGAGTTAGATAACAATGAGCAATCAATCAATATTATTATCGCCTTAACCCTTTGAACAAAGTATGTTGTTTTTATATCGGCAATTCACGCCATGATAAGACCAATTGATATATGTTATGCAGAATGATAGTCTAGCTATTCCCCTAGCCGCAGTTGCTACTGCTATGTATAAAAGAAGAAAATTTCAACTTGCATTGTAAGTAGTGCACTTCTAATCCACAAGTATCTCACTAAACGATACTAGCATAATCTCTTTATGTAAAACTGAGCTATTTTTGATCTCTCGTGTCTCATAGGCCAACCGGCTGGGTGGTATATTATATATTTTGCCTTGTACTTTGAATGTATGTATTTTATACTGGGTGACACGCAAATAAAATATCTTATCTATCTTATCTATCTATCTATCTATGAGTGTATTCCCTTTGTTATAGTAAACCTAGACATGTAAACACTCACTTTTGACATATCCACTGTGCAAGATAACAGTGATTAATCAATCAATGTATTTTCTGTTAATCCTTTGATGACTAGGAACGATCTGTTGATTTACAAAAAACTGATCATTCATCTCTTGCTGGGCTCCCACGTGCATATTACATAACACACATTTCACCTCACTTGAAACCTGGATTTAGATTGAATAATTACCCCAGACACAATGCCAAATGGGAACCTTTGTCAGGTATTCTAAACGGTGCTACCACTAATTATACCTGTAATATATTCATTAACTGAGCATCAAGTGAATGACGACAAATACACACAAGTGTAGGGTTATACCAGAAAACGTGGATGACAACAAGAGAGTAGTAATCGTATTATCGACGTAATCCGAAATCCGAAAATGCTTTCACTGCATGGATACTCTTTTATTATTAAACTATAACAACCATATAACTATTTCCAAATGACGACATCCGATGAGCTCCTTTTTGTCTGTTTGTTTAGGCTGAAGAAATGAATTAACATGCGCCCCTTGTCGAAATCTTTATAGATCACGGTTAACCAATCAGTGTTCAAAAATGAGTAAAACAATAATTGCCTTCAAGTTTATTTAGCTGACCTTGCAGACGGTAGCCCAGTCTCTTGTCACGCTCAATTGCGTTGCATATCATCCGGGTACTTACGGGGGAAAAACAATAACAAAGGCAACCACCAGTCCCGGGGAATTGCTTTAGATCAGTGCCCCTTTAAGAACAAAGTTTTGTATGCCGACAACAACTCCAGCAGCCTTTATTTACAGAATATCAGACAGAAAGTGAGGTAACTGTGAAGTCGTGGCCATGTATTGTCAGTTTAGGCTGTATATACGATACGATCCTTGACTCTCGATCGATCCGTTGTACGTCCCCATTATGTCACTTGAAGATGACTTCCGGTTAACTTGATACGACGTCAATGTCACGTGATTGTCACGTGACAGTCGTGCACGGTACACCGAAACCCAAAGTTCGTTTGGTATGTCGATACTGAACACGATGTCATTGTCAATAAAACTGAATTCTGAAAGTAAAAAATGTGTTACTTTTAATCAACAAGTAAGTATCATACATTGCTTGCATCAGGAATACATCATTGAATGTATGAAAGAGCGCATATCGTCTTTGTGGTGTCTCCTACTAGAATATGTCACCTGCCTTCTCTTTACTACCGTTTGATTTGTTTGTTTGTTTATTATTTTTTTCAGTTGTTTACAGTGACATGTGTAACCTTCAGGTAGTAGCTGCAGCCTTCTAAAGAAAATCCAGACGTTTAGATACATTGAATACTGAAGCACTCATCACAGACCAAACACTTAGGCTTACAAATCATGCTCTATAAATTCTTTTTTTTTATCAAGAAGATCGAACCTTCAATTCTGCCGACCACATAACTGAATTGGTCATCCGGTGACTTTCCGTCGATGTTGAAAGAGAAAGTTGTCTCCCCTCCCGACAACAAGGTGGCGCTGACGTCGGTGTACGTGTAGAGCGGCGTCTTCGATTGGTTGGTGGTAACGAAGGCGATCTCACTACAGAAGGACAGTGAATAATACAGAATTTATGCAACACTTGAAATTTGTTTGTCTTACGTCGCAGTCATCAATATTCGGGGCGGTCGGGTAGCCTAGTGGTTAAAGCGTTCGCTCGTCACGCCGAAGACCCGGGTTCGATTCCCGACATGGGTACAATGTGTGAAGCCCATTTCTGGTGTCCCCCGCCGTGATATTGCTGGAATATTGCTAAAAGCGGCGTAAAACCATACTCAGTCAGTCAGTCAGTCATCAATATTCAGATTATATCACGGTGGCCTGTAAGTATTCGAATCTGGCCCTGACAAACCAGTGATCGATATTATGAGCAACGTTCCACGCGATGAGGGTACGATAACGTGCAATCAACCAAGATCAACAAACCTGACCACACTGTCCAATATAGTCGTCCTTTTGCGACGATCAAAAGAGTGCTGGGGGCCTGTTCTACCCCGAGTCCACACTGAGTGCAAGACGTCACCACTATTTGTAATCCACCCTTGAAGATCCGGGTTAGAGTAGGTCTTAAGCAACCCATGCCTGTCGTAAGAGGCGACTAATGGGATCAGGCTGGATGACTTTGCTGATGCATGTCATCGTATCCAAATGGTGTAGATCGATGCTCATGTTGTCAATCACTGGATTGTCTGATCCAGATTCGATTAATAACAGACCGCTGCCATACTGCTGAGTGCGGCGTTAAACAACAAACAAACAAAACAAAACCATTTGTAATCATTATCTAGACGGACTTACTTGTTTCGGATAAATATTTACCTCTTTCGCTGACCTGTAAAACAGATGATGTCTTGAACAGCTAACCTCTTCCATGACCTTGGGTCAAGGTCGTACACGTAAACGTAGGCTTGAACTTGATCTGACATCGGGATGCTTGTTACTCTCAATGGTGATACCGCTGAATGATAAGTGATAAAGGGACTCTTCTTAAAAGAAGTGGTTTTAATATTATCAATACAGGAATTATACTTAAGTAACTGTTTTGATAAGTGACATATTAAACCAAACTGCGACCGCAAAATATTATTTCAACCTAACAACACTGAACCAAATACTTACTGGCTGCCATTACTACTGTTTAAAGTGAGTGAGTGAGTGACGTGGGTTTAACGCCGCTTTTAACAGTATTCCAGTTACATCACGGCGTGTCAGCTTAATGTGGGAGGAAAGCCCTAAGTGATGCAGGTCTCAGACGTTTACCACTTCGGTGAAACCCACGAGCACGGGTATGGTGCTGACAAATCTAGAAACATAATCGGGGCGAACCTTGATTCGAACCCACAATCATAGGTGTCTGGCGTGCACAAGGGACGCAACTCTGCATAGCGAATCGCGGCGCATTAGACGACTGGGCCACCCGTGCCCCATCAGTCAATCATATAGTCTTAAACCACACATCAGTCATTCATTTAGTCCTAAACCACACATCAGTTAATCATTTATTCCTAAACCAGACATCAGTCAATCATTTAGTTCTAAACCACACATCAGTCATTCATTTAGTCCTAAACCACACATCAGTCACTCATTTAGTCCTAAACCACACATCAGTTAATCATTTAGTTCCAAACCACACATTAGTCATCCATTTAGTTCTAAACCATACATCAGTCAATCATTTAGTCCTAAACCACACGTCAGTCATTCATTTAGTTCTAACCACACATCAGTCATTCATTTATTCCTAAACCACACATCAGTCATTTATTTAGTTCTAAACCACACATCAGTCATTCATTTATTCCTAAACAACACATCAGTCATTCATTTAGTCCTAAAACACACATCAGTCATTTATTCAGTTCTAAACCCCACATCAGTCATTAATTTAGTCCTAAACCACAAATCAGTCATTCATTTAGTCCTAAACCACACATTAGTCATCCATTTAGTCCTAAACCACACACCAGTCATTCATTTAGTTCTAAACCACACATCAGTCATTCATTTAGTTCTAAACCACACATCAGTCATTTATTTAGTTCTAAACCACACATCAGTCAATCATTTAGTTCTAAACCACACATCAGTCATTCATTTAGTTCTAAGCCACACATCAGTCATTCATTTAGTTCTAAACCACACATCAGTCAATCATTTAGTCCTAAACCACACATCAGTCAATCATTTAGTTTTAAACCACACATCAGTCAATCATTTAGTCCTAAACCACACATCAGTCATTCATTTAGTCCTAAACCACACATCAGTCATTCGTTTAGTTCTAAACCACACATCAGTCAATCATTTATTCCTAAACCACACATCAGTCAATCATTTAGTCCTAAACCACGCTCCAGTCATTCACTTGATCATACACTTAGTGTGGACAGTACTTTGTTTGCTTGCTGGTCAAATCTTGTCGACTAACATACATTTCCGGCTTCCGTGAGGTCTGTTATTCTGCGTGTATCTCGACAAAATGCTACAAGAATGTATATGTGAACTTATCACTTAATACAGCCGACAAGTTCCCCTTCCGTCTGTGCACCTGTGAGCCAGCTGCTCGTTGACATATAGTAAACATTTCCAAATATGGAACATGGCATCTGTCAATCACGCATTTGTTGACTGTGGATTTTGTTCGTTATTCTAATCGGTGACATTGGTGGTTGCCAAAATACTGATAATAAATTTATATATTATTCGAAAGGCATACGTTACTTTGAGATACAAAAGTGATCCAAACCCTATCGAAGACACTAAATACCTTTATTCCAATGTAAACCTGTTTCAAAACACACGTTTCGCGTCGTGTTCATTGTAATATAAAGTTCAGTAGAATGGATATTTTAAGGGTATAAAATAGATTTGCTACTTTTATAGCGTAAATTTGAAACCCATGGGAAACACACCGGTTAGGTTGTATCTGTTGCCGTTGATGTACTTCTCATTTCCCAGCATCAAATTCCATGTGGCATGTGAAGCTGAGGATAGCGTTCCACCGGAAATGACGTCACTGATGAACGTATCTTCCATTTTGGGACCAAATGGAGGGGATGGCATACAATTAGTCAAGTTGATGACATACCGAAGAGGTGCACCCTGGGTAAAATCATCGAAGAAGTTTTCAGGGTCTACCGTTTTGCTGAAGACGGTGACAATGCTGTGAAATAGACTCGAAAAGAATCAAATGTATTCCTGAATATATGTGCAACAACAGTAGTAACTAGTAACGGCAGAGAAAAATCATATCACTGAGGTTATTTGAGAGTAGAGGTAGATATAGTATAAGCATAAGTAGTACCCTGAGACAATACGTAGTAGTGGTAGTAGTAGTAGTAGTAGTAGTAGTAGTAGTAGTAGCAGTACTACTAGTAGTAGTAGTATTAGTAGTAGTAGTAGTAGTAGTAGTAGTAGTCGTAGTAGTAGTAGTTGTAGTACCCCAGTGGTGATTCCGGGTCATTCGTGACCAACTCGTCTCATTCTGGGAATAAACCTTGTTGTAGGTTACGGAAATAAACGAGTGGTGACGAATGATGCTGGCTGTAAGATGGATCGGTTGGTCAGACTCGGTGACATCGCACTCCGGAAGGTGGATCATTGCTGACAATATCAATCATCACTGGTCCAGACTCGATTATTTAAAGGCCGCTATGACATAACTAGAATATTGCTGAGTGCGGCGGAAACCCCCAAAATAAAAAAAGTGTCCCTAGAACGAATCTGTGCTTGTTGTAGAGGCAGTTGTACCGTTGCTGTGGCAGAATGGTCTGAAGATTCCGGCAGAAATCGGGCGGTTTCTTATTTTCACAAGTCACTCCAGACTGTTAGGTACGCAATCGGTATTTTTTCATAGATTCTGCTTATATATGACTAACCTACATATACACGTGTATATATGTATAATCTTGATATACAGCAACGAGGATTAAATATAGTTTTGGATAATAGGTCATGCCGACATATACCAACACGTCGTGTCAAGAAGACGAACTGACAAATACATGTAAGTTTCAAGTAAATCCATATATAGTTAACTTACCATATTGAGAAAATGAACGCAGATCTCACGTCCGCCATTTTGCTGGACAAACACTGCTAAGGGGGCGTATCATGGTAGTAAATGTTTATAAATCCACGTTTTCACGCTTTGCACACAATATGTGAAAAATATAGTGTTTACACACGGGAATGTTTTTTTCACGGATTTAGTCGGATAATCGAGACAGGTTTTCTCCTGCGATGACGTTTTATTTTCTTAAAAATATATATAGGTATGTCAGTAATTTTTGTATATGTCAACATTATCAACATTATTAAGTTGCATTTTGAATCTGTATTACTAAGGATAGCCAGGGTTGACTTGTAGGTATGTACTTCTTTTGTATATTCATTTTGTTTTAGTTGTATGTTGATGACTCTGACTATTAGATGAAAGTGGGTGAGAAGTGAGGGGTTTAACGTCGCGTCTAGGATTATTACACTTATTTACCGACGTGCATACGGCATACGTGCTCTGTGTGTGTGTGTGTGTGTGTGTGTGTGTGTGTGCGCTTGCACTAGTCCGGACTAATGCCAACCATGCCGCAGTTTAACATAAATACCCCACTCAGAAACAGTATACTGACTCCGAGCTGACCAGTCCTTATTTTAGCCCCTTAATGCCGAGCGCCAGACAGGGTAACAACAAAGACCATCTTTTAACCCCGGACCTTCCACTCTCTGGGCGGACGCTCTACGACGAGACCACGGAGGCGGACTATTAGATGCAGGTACTAGAATCTGAACGGAAACGTCCCATTGGTTGAATATAATCACCCACAATGATCAATACATTAGCTGACAGGAAAACAGACAGACCGTTTATTCAGTATAAAGCCACTGGCTCGAAATACGATCATACAAAAGTTTCCTTGCATTACCATTATTTCAATATATTAACTCTCAAATTATTACAATCTCATTTAAATCCGATCTTAGTTGTCGCTACCGCTAAACAGAGATCTGAGGACATCCTATTTGGGGTCACGTCAGAACGACCTTTCATCCGACCAATCAGAGCGTCGCTTACCAGATCATGAAAGTGACAGTCGGAATGTGATTTCTCATCATGCAGCCTCGAAAACTTTATAACGGGGTATTCCGAACGATAGTTACGGGCTTAACGACTGAATCTATACAATCTAGATCATATATTTGCCATTCGAGAATGTTCTTTTGTTCAGGTTTCAAATTTTTAAGCGAGAATTTGTCAAAATAGGTTTCGAAGCGTAGTCGCCAATTTGAAATTAGTGCCGTAAAGCACGAGAAAGCTGCCTTCTGATTGGCTAATGTCGACTTCTTGTCAGTAATTCCATTGGTCGGTCAGAGTTTGCGAAAGGGCGGTCTGACGTGACCCGTAATGGGATGTCCTCAGATCTTTGTTTAGCGGCAGCGAGAACTAAGATCTGATTTTAATGAGATTGCAAATTATTATTTCCTCATTTTTTAACACTTTACGATGGAATTTTAAAGCTCTGAGCCTGACGACGATGGACTACATTGATGGAGTTAGTTACAAACTGTTTTTCAACGTAATCCCTTCCGAGATCCACACATTTCTGTCAATGATGCTGGAGTGCCTGGATCCCCCTGGGGTAGAAGGCTCCCTCCTGGGCTGTACGTAGTCTTCAATCGCAGAAATCGCGCCATCTTCATTGTATAATGCTTGTCAAACAGCTATTCCTCTCCTGAAAAGAGGTGGAAATATGACAGTGCCAAATCTTGTGACTATGGAGGATGTTCAATGAGTTCAAAGCCACACTCTTGCATTGCAGCCATGGCGACAATAGACTCGCGCACAGGTACATCGTCCTGGTGGAACAACACCCCTGTAGTGAGTTTTCCATGACATATCGCCTTGATATTCTCACGCAGTTGCCCAAACAGACCTTTCGGGAGGTAGACTACCAATAGGATTCCTTTGGAATCCCAGAAACCCGAAACCACCACTTTCCTAGCTGATGGAAGAGGCGTTGGATATTTCCACTGGTCGTTGTTTAGTCTCTGACTTGGAGTGGTGAACTCAAGTCTCGTCCATGGTGACAAATCGCTCAACACAATCAGCTGGGATCTGCTCAAAACGACGTAAATCAGCACGACACGTGCACATAATGAACCTGGAGCGTTTCGGATCTGGAGTCCGAAGCTTTGGAACCAAGCGTGCTGAAACATTGTCTAAGTGAGTGAGTGAGTTGGGTTTAACGCCGCTTTTAACAGTATTCCTGTTATATCACGGCGTGTCAGCTTAATGTGGCAGGAAAGCCCGAAGTGATGCAGGTCTCAGACGTTTACCACTTCGGTGAAACCCACGAGCACGGTATGGTGCTGACAAACCTAGAAACATAATCGGGGCGAACTGGGATTTGAACCCACAATCATAGGTTTCTGGCGTGCCCAAGGGACGCAACTCTGCACAGCGAATCACGGCACCTTAGACGACTGGGACACCCGTGCCCCCGTAACATTGTCTAAACCCAGTTCATTCCTCAGAATGTTCTCAACTGTATTTGCTATGTGACGTGTTATAAGTCGTCCATTCTCAATAATAGTCTCATGTGTTTTATCAACATTGTATTTTGTTTTGGCAGAGAGATTCTTTTTTTCACAGCTTCAAAGCATAAATATCTTTTCACGCTTCTTCTGGGACCATGAATTTTTTTCGATGCAATCCCTTATTGGTGACAGTTGAAAGCCTTCGTAGTTCAGAACTTTTCAGCATTCCTTCGTATAGTTTATTTTACCCTGTAAAGGTTTAACGGTCAACCCCACAGACTAATCAGTCTCTTTTATCTTCCGAAAAAAATAATATAACAATTCCGACTGACTTCAGTAAGTTTGCAAAGTGTTATGTGCATTAGGGTACCTTATGTTGTTGGCACGGTATTTTTTACTTTTCATTGAGGTGTAGACTTCCCAAACAAGTAAAACATGAAAGTATTCTTCAATGGGTTTTTATCACGTAATCTACAGTAAGGAAAAATAAGTTGAAAATTGTCTTACAATCTTTGTTTAAAACTACTGATAAAAACACTGATAAAAACACATATCTGGCTTTCCAATGATGATGATGATTAGTATGTTGGCATCATAGGTCGTTATGAAGAGTATCCTCGCTGGTGTTATCAGAGTTCATCAGATCATCTTGTCTTTCAACAGTGAGAGAAAGGTCAGACCCCAGTTGTCAGATACCCAAGGTGTTAGATAGCGGAGTAGAGATGGTTCGTCACGGGTCGCCAAGTCGTCTAAGGCGCCGCGATTCGCTATGCAGAGTTGCGTCCCTTGGGCACGCCAGAAACCTATTATTTTTGGTTCGAATCCCGGTTCGCCCCGATTATGTTTCTAGATTTGTCAGCACCATACCCGTGCTCGTGGGTTTCACCGAAGTGGTAAAAGGCTGACACCCGCCTCACCTCGGGCTTTCCTCCCACATTAAGCTGACACGCCGCGATATAACTGGAATACTGTTAATAGCGGCGTTAAACCCAACTCACTCACTCACTCACTGAGATGTTTGACAAATTGTGTACGATCGGGATTAATCCATTTTACCTCTTGGGTAACAGGCATTGGATAGTGGGAGAAATCAACCGTGACGTGATTTTAAGGTATCTGACTGAAGGGGGGTGAGCCCAAGAGAAAGAAGCGCGAGTAAAATCTGTCGACTTTACCGTCAATATCACTTTGATAATTTGTGATTTTCACTTGTAAAGCAACGTGAAGTATTACATGCCACAGAGAAGATGTTTCCTATAATATACAGCATGAATCATTATCGAAGAATTAGATAGTCTGATATTTTCACGACAGCTATGACATCAAATAATCACATATTATTGATAAAAGACCCAAGACTTTACCTCCGTCTCCTGAGCTTTAACACAAGTTTCGCCTTTATTGTGTTCAAAGTAAAGACTGGTTCACAGTCCAAGTAAATGATATAAGATAAACTTACTTTCGGTTTCGGAAAATAGTCCTCACACGGTATTTTTCCACTTGACCATCCCTGAATAAACCAAAAGGAAATGACTCATAGATTAATTTTATGATTGCGACTAAGTTTCAAATCAGATATATTCGGAACACCAGTCACTGTTTAATCGAAATAATAACTTTGTGGTAATTCCAGTGTAGTTCTATGTTATGAGAGACTTTCCTTTGGGGAACTAAACATAATGCACACTGTATTTCGTCATAACGGGACACCATATTATCCGAAGCCCAAACTACGGATGTGGCGACTGCTTCACTGCACGTGCACCGTAAGTAGTATTTTTATAATGGCTGTACTGGTAGTGTAGACTAACATCTAGTCTCTAAAATGAACATATCGTACAGAAAAAAAACAGTCGTTCAGTTATCTTAATAAAAATATAATTAAAGGGAGCCCAGTGATTCTTCATTTTCAGATACTGCAGTAATCTAGACTTGCCAAACATTATAGACTGCATGGGCTGTATTTGATATATATTTGTATCAGGGTCTGTAAGACAGACTACAAGTAGGGGTTCCGGTCAGAATAGGTTCCTGGACCGATATGCTGATGTAGGTGCAGACTATTTAGGATCGTGTGGTCACAATGTCACAATAAACTGCTGTCAAAAGAAAGTATTCTCTTGAAAATTGGATTTTACCAAAAAATGTCAAACGTTATCAAAACGTTACTAGGCTGAAAACAGTCACCGAAACACTGCAAACTTAACGTCCATAACACAGCTATGATACCCGTATGAAATACATCACCATCGAATAACCGTATCTTGTTTGTTTCAATTTTAGCTACCATCAAACATGGGTGTATACTTCATAGGTGGACCCAGAGGGGGTGGGAAGCGGTGGGGGTCCAGTGCTTAGTATGAGTATGGTGTAGGCAGTAAAGACGTCTGAGAGAGGATTTTGATATTTTGGACCCCTCCCTTTAATATAGCCCTCCCTTGTACTTTCATTTTCCCGGCAGTGTATTTAGACCTGGTTGGAATTCCGGGTTAGAGTGAGTGAGTGAGTATGGTTTTACGCCGCTTTTAGCAATATTCCAGCAATATCACGGCGGGGGA